CCATCATCGGGCCAGCTGAGGATTCAAAGCTTCTAAGCTACCAATGTTCTCTCGTCCTTGACGGCGCAGCGATCCAAAGTCAACGATTGGTGTGTGCAGCAGCGGATCGATCGCTTACCATCCCACACAACGTGCAATGATTAGGGGTCTGTCTAGGAAAGAAATCGACATTCATTGATGAGGATATGCTACAAATCTGGACTTCCAATCAGTCAACAAAGCTATCTGACTTGTCTCTCTTCGATGCATAACCCTCTTGTACGCATCACGCGCCCCGCTTTGTCTGCCTCTTCTCGTCCTAGTACTGGTACCTCAATCAACAGACTAAAGAACTCAACATGGCTTGTTATACCTTATTTGGAAGTTATGTCTAGCTTTCCTATGTGCTATAGTGTCTCACGAACCACTACTAGAAACTATTGGAGCGCAAATGTCGCTTTTAATATGTCTAACAATACAGGGTCAGGGCTCCTCCATGCGTACAGTAACCGGAAATCCTACCACTGCTAGAATCCCAGACATGCGAAGTCAGATATAAAGTGGACAAGCAGGGAGGAGTACTCCGACCTTTACCTTTCCACTCACTCTGAGCCACCGATTCAGCGACCTCCTCTCGTCAAGCTTTCAGCCAAGGCGTTAAGTCAACTTTACTTCATTCAAATTCACCCCGCAATCATTTCAAACGAAGGATGCTCTTTACGGTACGTCACATCTTCTCCTGAATGCGTCGGTGCATCTCTCATCTCCGTTATAAAACGACTTTGAGTAGACCCCCATCAACTTCGACATGCAGAACAACGGCGAGCGACCCAGAAAACGATCTACCGACTCCGACTACAGACGCCCCTTCAGCCACCGCAGCGCCAACTACAACATCAAGCATCTCGTCATCTCTCATCCACGCGCCCTTTCTAAATCTCCGTCAAGAGGGCGCAGCACTACCCCACGAAAATCGTATTATATGGCTACGGCGACACGTACTTCTTTCAGCTCGCTCTCCCCTTCGCTCTCACCTCCAGCCATACAGTCCTTCTTTAACGACAGATACACCTCTTCGTTCTCTGAACATGAACTACCCCATAAACCCAGTTCGTTCCCAAAGGATTCAGCACCGTTCCATGTATATTTTGACGAGCTGCATACTCGTTCTCGCACCCCATCCAGCCCTTCCTTGCGTGGTCGCAACCCAACCTTTTATAATTTCCCCATTCACCAACGCCAACAATCTCCCTACCGAAATATCCAGCAAAACCAAAGGCGGCACGGACACTCCCAACCGCGTCCCGGACACGATTTAGAAAATCACCTCAACCAATACGACAGCCCACATTACCGCAGCCCGATGAAATACCTCCCATTCCCCATCGCATCTCCCCGATCGTGCAGGGACGTTCCGGGCAGTGGGGTTGAGTATTTAATTAAGAGGCTGGAGGCGGTGGCAGAGCTAATGCAGAGTGCTGAGGATAGCGAGGCAGAGGGGGATACAGAGTGTAGCGAGAGGGATACAGAGGCGGAGAAACAGATGAATAGAAGGGATGGGAAGAAGAAGCCGTTCCAGGAGAGGATGGCGCAGCTTTTCAACTTGAAGTCTTCTTGTTGATATAGCCGTTGAGGATCGTTGACATAGTCGTCTTAGACTCATGATTTGCTAGGACTATGAAGGGCGTTAGGAGGACTATCTAGCATAAACATCCGTTTTTATTTACTTAGTATTGATTAATTAGTCGCTTGTAATTCTACGTCGAAGATACCCCGAGAAGAAGCGCGACGAGGTATGTTGCTAACTGACGCGGCATTAGGACCATCATCTCATTTCTCCCCATCAACTTCTCTAACTTATAAATTAACACCAAAGCTCATACTATCCAAAATAAGTAAGGGACTACGCAAAGCTGTATATGTAATACATACATGAATATAAGATATGACACATGAAGGAAGCAAAAAAAATCAAGAGGGAGAGAGTGGAGAGCGTTCGAGAGTTGTATCGTAAGGCCAAGTAGGAAGGGAGGGAGCATTACAAAAGGAAGGGAAGGAGGGGAAAATAAAGTTATTGCATGGGTGGGTCAACTCTAACTGATAATAAAAACGGTTGTAGTTATACCGGTGAATAAAACAATGAATAAGAAAAGCACGAGGGGTTTGGATGAAAGACGGCGGCGGGCAAGATAACTGCGAAAGATTCAACGTATAATGGGGATATCATTTCAAAATGAATCCGGTATGCAAAATTACAGCAGTGTTGAACACAGCGTCTCGCAGGAGACGAGATAACGGTGTAGGGTGAGAGTGGGAGGGAGTCCGCGTCGTCAGGTAAGGGAGGGGGGTAAGGGGAGAAGGGAGAAAAGGGAACGCATAATGTTAAAGTAAAACAACTGACCCAAAAAAGAGTCTGTGAAGTGTCGTCCAGATGAAAATGATGAAGGGATAGGATAAGTAAGTAATGCACAATTGATGAAGATAATCATGAGCGTGAAACGTGAGGGGTTAATAATAAACAGGGAAGGAGGGATGTATGTATACTGAAGAAAGAGAGAACGCAAAAAAAAAAGTAACAAGGAAGGCGCATTGGGTCATCCAGGATACCTAGAAATCAAAACACCTCCCGTTTCACATCTCATAAACCCGACCTCTTCGGGTCTCTACTCCGGTCTCTCCTTCATACTCTAAATCTACTTCCCAATTAGACCTTATCATCCTCCCCCTCTGATCGATACGCAGGCAACAGCGGCTCGTCTGGCTTTATCGGCAGGCGGATCAACCCCGTCTGGTTGTTCACACTGGACGAGCGCGACGAGCGACGGTGCGAATGGTGTCTGTGATGGTGATGCCTGCGCTCTCCTTCGGCGTGGGAGTGCGGGTGTGGATGATGTAAGTGGTGAGGGAAGGAGGAGGAAGACGGGGAAGAAGACACCCATGCCTCCTTCGCCCTCGCCTGCATGTCCTTCGGAAGCGAACTAAGTGGTACGGGTGTATATACCATCTCTACCTCCTCGTCTCCTGTATTTGATCTAGATGAGGCTCCTCGCGGGAGGAGGTAGATTCTCCGTAGGGACGTTGTTGAATTTGAGTTGGATGTAGGATTTGATGAGGGAAGAGGAGGAAGGGAAGAGGAAGAGAGGGAGATGGGGAGGGGCAGACGCGGGAGGGTGAGGTAAGTGTAGTAGCTTGAGACTGCTAGAAGGAAGTGTAGCTGTGGAAGGAGGGTTAGTCTTGGATGCTAAGAAGCGAAGGAAAGAAACGAAAGGAAAAAGAAATTAAACAAGGCCGGAAACGGTTTACACCAAGCTCGCGAACAACATCGAACGATAATCCCAAAAACCCATCCAAAAAAAAGAGAAAACAACCTCGCAGAGAGAAAAGAATGCAATACTCACTCTCACAACCATAATCACAAACATCACTGCCAACAGTGCAAACACCGCTCTCTCCAACCACCTCTCACAATTCTCCAAATTGAGGCCCATCTCGAGCATACCCCGCATGAGCTCAGGGTGGTGAGAAAACTCTTCGCAGACGCCTGCGCGGGCAGAGGTACGGAATCCGCCATAGGTTGCTAGGGCGGTGAAGAAGGCGCAAAAGGAGAAGTCGGCGATAGAGTAGTCGCGGTAGAAGCGCACGAAGGAGGGCTTGTTCTAGTGATGCGAGGAGGGATGTTAGAGAGAAGACAATAGAATGACAAAAGAACGAACCTTGAGGATCCCAGCGAGCCCAATAGCACACACTGCGGCGGCGGAGGCAAAGTAAGCTGAGAGTAGAGCCCAGAAGATCTTAACACCATCAACACGCCAGTTATCATTGGACGCCTCCCATTCGGACTCGGGCTCCCACTTGAGGGAGGACCATGCAGCGAGGACTTGTAGGGTTAGGGCGGTGTTTGTGATGAGGCCAAAGAGGGTGATGATGAGAGAGGCAGATCTGTTGTAGTTGCGCATTTGGAAGAAGGGGGAGGAGGAGGGAGGAGGGGGAGGGGGGAGAGGGGAAGGGGAAGAAGAAAGGGTAAGACACCAGGTATGGTACGATGACAAGGAGGAAAAACAGACCTCGCTGGGTTGAATGGTGGCATTGTGTTCAGCCGGGAAAGGGACGAGTAAAGTTAGGGAGTAGTCAGCAGGATCAGTCAGGCGCTATGGAATCTCGCGCTGAAGGAAGAGAACGGAAAATGAGCGACGGCAGGCAGGTGGATGACTGGAAGGGATGAGACGATGAAAAGGGTAAGCACTCGAGCAGAGCATCGTATCATACGCGCACACCCGCCGGCCATCATTGTGACTAAGCGAGCATTGTGTCAGCATATCTGTCATCCACTAATGTTGGTTCTCCGCTCTCTCTCTCGATGCTGATTCTCCTCTCCCTCTCTCCTTGCTCACAATACTCTAGCGTACTCGCCACCTACCGCAGTCGTAGCACGCAGCGCGCAGCTTGCAGTTCGCAGCTCCCTCTCATTTTCATCTACAGCATCACCCATGCTGACACGCCTCGTCCTGACACCTCCCACGCCTCCCTCTATCTCCCCCGCTGCACTTGATTCTCCGCTGGCTAACGGGCGCTCCGTGTCATGTCCGTTCGCTCATTTCGATGATCGGCTCCTCCGGGGATCCCATTTTGTCGTGGTTCTTCATCCCGGAGTCTGTTCCTCGAGCTTTGTTCCTCCTCTGTACTATTTATACACTCACAGTTGGAAGATCACATAGCTTTCCTCTTGTCACTCGTGGTCGGCTCTATCCCACCCTCAGGCTTGTTAATGAACATCCATCTCCTCGGCCCTTACGCGCAACACTAGTTCACGATGACTCGAACAGCGCATTGATGCCGCCAAATTGAATGAATCAATGAATGAAACACTCAAGCGCGCACTCTGGTCTACTTTATTTCTATTCTCGACCAGTCTAGTCACGTCCAGTCTATTTTTAGTTGCACACCAAAACAAGTTGAATACCGCACCCACTTGTAGACCGTGCGCGTGTAACAGACAAAAAATATATTCAATGCCTCCTTATTGACCCGTCTCTGATTTGAACAGAGTCTGCCGCGGAGAACATGTACCACACACTTGAAAATCCATATGCTCACGGAATGCTACCATTACACCACCAGGTCTGTTATCTACCTACACAACGAGTTGCTTTTGAACTACTCCCCCACCCGCTCAGGATTCTTTCTCGCTCGAGAACTGAAATAAATTCCATGCTTCTCTAGATTCACTTGTAAACCTTTTTATCAAACAAAGTAAATTACGTACGTGGAGTTATGAGTTGGCTCGGATTTGAATACAGTTCACCACGAAAATTATGCACTTCAAACGGCCAATGGTTCTAGGCGTTGTATCAATTACACTATCAGGGCTATTCTTCTTATATGTAAGCTATTTTTTGAACTACTCTAAGCTCTTTCAGCAGCTCCAAATTATTTCCAGAGCTCACTATAAAGAGTTAAGTTTGACAATCCGATTATCAATGCGTTCATATCATCACTATCGAGCCCTTTCTGTTAGTGGCGATATTGCATACTTCGTTCGCCATCAGTCACTCGACGCGTTTAGTCACACTGTGACACACACTGTTCAACTCATCTCAGAAGGCGAACAGCTCCAGGACTTCTAATGGAAAGCGGTCGATTGCAGTGGATAACAGAACCCAGATTTCTGGAGCACCCTTATACGGTTCATGACGGCAAAGAGGATGGATAAGCAGGCTGCGAAATTCAAGCTCAAACGGCCATGGTAGTGTAACTGCCCTTCGCGATTCAATCGTTTCCATGAGTTGGGAAGCAAAAGTGTATATTGCTCTATCGAGGAGTAACATGGAGGCAGACGCGTCAAGTGGTGAACAAGTCGTTCACTCGCACTTGCCAGTTCTACATTCCTATTTGGCGTGTTTTGTATGATCTCTTCAGAACTACGCGAACATAGCGTTAAATCTATGGCAAAGGGCGCTCATTTATGGCCAAGCTCACCTACCTACCTACGTCATGGCCAGCTTCATCCAAAGCATGTTGCAATGGTATCGGTTCATACCTGATGACATCTTCAATGTCACCAATTCGGTATTACGAGTCTGTTGCGTAATACTCTTTTCTAGTCTCGCATCACAGCACTCTTGCGGGGCTCCCATATTCGGAATCTGGACTAGCCTTAGTCGATCGCACAGACTGAGCTCAGAAACAGTTGCACATTGCAAACTTGTAATATATAATTCGCCGTGTATATACCGAGAAAGTTTTGATTTAGATATATTGGACATGTGAATCGCCTTTGACGCGGGTTTAAATGGAAATGATTAGATGAAAGCCCGAAGTTTGCAGCTCTACGAGTAACATTCGCCACCAAATCGCATCCAAATGCCCTCTTCTCCTATGGATATCCAGTATCTTGACCACGCACCACGTAATCTTCGGTTCTGTGGAACTCGCATGTGCGGTTATCTACTTGACTGTTTGGGGGAGAAGGTTGCCGTCCCACCACAGCAGCGAACGAAAACCGATTTCTGATATACTCTCATGGTTTTTATCACCACGAAGCGTATCGATAAACAGCTGGATCGAATGATTGACAGACTATCAGAATGTAAACACCTGTTAGATGAGCAGAAGTCCCAACACGTCCATCAGCTCGTACAGAGTTGTACACACTGTGAGAACTGCAGAGTAGTAGACTCCGGAGCAGTTTTGAATAAATGGGAGTCGAATAAGGCCTAGTGTTTACGGTAGAACATTGCTCATTCCCGTTGAACGTTTTATCTGCTTTAACAATATGACTAGAGCAACCAGTATCGAAAACGCTTTGCTGAATATCGGCCGAATTCTTCTAGTGCTTTACTCTCCCTAGGTCCAGCCAACTTTATCAAAAAAAATATTAACGTGGCACTGTTTCCTGCCCGACGCCACCATGTTCGTTACGGTTGCGTTGGTCCTATGCATCTGCCGCGTCCACCTTGTTCTTAACCTCGTATCATATCATTCCTGTGAAGCCATTCTAGATTCTGACCGAACCTTATTCGACGGCATCACGGCTGGACTCGCAGCTAACAGCTGGAGAGCACAAAATCGTATGACAGAGGGATATATCCGAAGTCGGCTCACAGAATTTTGAATTCTTTTTTCAGCTTCTTTGCGAACAGCCAGTGGACATTCGCATCCAGGTCACCAAGGGTTAGAAGACGAGTTTAATTCAAGTCTATCCGCTCTTGATGCATGCTAATACCGATCCACGCATGCCAGCAGGTTTGGAGGGTGTCACGACGCGCTTCGCATGTACATGCAGAGTCGGCGCTGAAATTCACCGTGTATACAACATGCACCTTTGGCCAGGTCCACCCATTCCACTCCGTCCGGAGGCCCCTTAAAGCTCCAACTACAGCAACTCATGATAGCCCTCATATGGGACTCCGAGATGGAAAGCTGCTGTTTTGCGACAGGATGCCAAAGTTCTTTCCAGAGTGCTGATCGAGGGTTCCAGCGCAGTACTTAGCCGGTGTACCATTGCCGCTTATTGCGAAAGAGAATGTCAAGTCCTGCTTTGGAAGGGAGGATTTCCCTGCACAAGAATACATGCCTATTATATTAACATACATCATTGAGAAATCATGTAGACTTGAATTGTTTTCAAAGCGTAAGAACGTGCCGATTAGGTATCACAGGTGGTGATCTCAGATATATCGGAGGATGGCGTTTGGAAGTAGCAAGTGTCCTATGCCGAATGAAACGGAATGTGGTCTAGCAGCAGTGTTGAGGGCAATAAATAGCATAAAAATAAATATTCTCTGAGGATGGTGATAGCTCATTAAGCTCAAGTTGAAGTTGAAAGGAAACCTTAGCCTGCTGCCTGACCGCGACAGAACCTCAGTGTTCATCACGTGTCCGAATTTCCCGCTCCCGACATCCAACCTTGAACGACAACGAGCGTCTTTTACACCTACCACCACCTACCAATGTCACGATATATTGACGGCAGGGATGCTGCGAAAACATATCGTCCTGTAGCAGGGGTATGTTCTGCTTGATTCCACACCGTAATATTCTCTAACGCACTCTCAACAAGTCAATGTCCCCTGGGCTCAAACGCGCCCGCGAGCCATATCGTTACCGAAATGCCCTTACAGGACTTGTACTGGGTGCGTTCGCTGCTGGCGTATGGGCCTACTCAATCAGCGCCGTGAAACAAGATGTATTTGACGATGTCGACGAGGAAGCACGAGCGTTGGGTGCAACGGGCACTGGGACGGGATTAGGTGTGGGTGTGATAGCGAATGCTGTCGAGGAAGAGAAGCGGATAATAGAGGGTGCGGTGGCGGCTCTGGAAGGAAAACCTCTGCCTAGTGACCCGCCTCTGTTTCAAGTCGTTGGTGGACCAAGCAAAGGATTGCTGCAGAAGCTTGACAAAAAGTACCCGAACTTGAAAATTCTTGACCCGGAGCGCAAGACTCTCGTGTGGGGAGCACCGCCAGTGGACAACATTGGAAAGATGGGACGATCATAGTGAGAAGAATGGTTTGGTTGTTGCGGTAGCGTTGCTTAATTCTCTTTTAGACTTACTCAAAGGATGGAAATCATTAGAAGGCTTGTACAAACCTCGGAAGGCTTTCGCTCGATGTACATCTTTCACCCCTAATAATGTACAATATAAACCAAGTACAAACCCTAAGTACTGTATTCGTCCACATTAGCCTAGCCCCCAAATGCCCGCCTTCCTGACGCCTTCTACGAGAGCATCAACATTACCCAGCATTGTCCCCAGTAACTGTTTCTTCTCCTCCGTCGTCCTCCGCTTCTCATTCGTCTGTGGGATCTCCGGTGGTTCTTCTTGCTTCTCAACTTCCGAGTACGACATCTGATTCTTGTCTTGATCCTCGACGGACTCGCACGATCCCAGTCGGGATAGACCCTTGGAAGGAGCTCGTCTTGATATACCTCCAACTCCCAGTTGTGACACTTGCGCCTTCTTAGGACTGAGAGGGACATAATCCACCTCCTTAAGCATCATCATAGATCTAGGATGGAGCTGCAGCGGTACTCTGTGAGCAAGCGGTGGGGAACTGGGTGGGGTTTTAGGTGGGTATCGTGGCATTGGGGAAGCCTTTTCGGGTGATGATGATACTGAGGATGCTGTTGTGGATGAAGAGGCGTTCGATGAGGTTGAAGAATAGGATTTGGTGGAACTGCCTGATGCTGATCGAGAAGATGACGAAGAGCCTGATGAAGAGGCCGATGAGGAGAATGGGAAGTTCTTCGATGATGGTCGCAATGGGGTTCCATTTAGGTATGGTTTCGAGGGCTTAATGGGCGTTGCGGGCACGGTTGGTGGGGGTGTAGACTGCGAGTTCTTGCGGGGTAGTTCAATGGACGACGAAGGCGTTTCATCGAGGAGATAGAAATATAAGAACTCTAGGCATTTCATTCTGTAAACCATTTCGATTTAATAGGCTGAATAATAGCTGAGCACAGAGTACTGACCTGACTTCACGGGGTGTACCTGCCCGTTTCAGGATCTTTACGACCGCCTGTGTACCGTTCGCATCTTCAAAGACTCTCAATGCTCCGGGTGAATCGACGAGAATGCATAGTAAAGTATCCAATACAGTGGATGAAAGCGGCAGTGGTGCTGTGGATAGTTTGCGGCTGGATCCAGGGGTAGATGACTCCGCGGGTACCGAAAGGTGGCGGGACGCAAGAAGTAAATCAAGGAGAACCTAAGAATAGGGTACGGAAATTGAGTGGGTAGACGACTACGAGCACAAAGCCACTCACTTCCAGGGAGGCTTTACGACCGAGGTATCGTTTACTGGCGTCATGGATGAGAGTAACACCTTGTATTAGTGAGAGAGCGACTGCTAGTTGTGATGATAATTTGAAGGCCTCGGACTCCTGCATGTCTAATTATATACGTCAACAGCTGAGGAATCATAGAGGAATGAATAACTAACCGTCCATGACGCCCTTATTCGTGAGTTGCTCGAGCTTCAATGTCGATGGGCCAATCCATGCTAGTAGTCGTGAGGGAACTAGCGTATCGTTACATCACAACCAAGAACAACGTGTTCCCAACGATACCACGCACCATTGCATTCGAAAGTATATTGAAGCGCCAAAAAGACGTCCTTCTC